AATTAATTTTTATTTTTTAACAACAATTAATATTTAAAAAATATTCTTAATCTCTTCCGTAAGTATTCTTGTTTGAAAAACAATCAAGTTTTGTCGGTTTTTTCCCACCCTACTTATAACCATCACCGGGTCCCCTTAACTTCGCTTGTCAGTTTAAATAAAACCAGAAACTAAAAACCGAAGTCATGCATCTCTTTTTATTTATCTACAACAACTCTCTAGCTTTAAACCTACCCCTTTTCGATTTCGTATCCGTTCTTGGTTTTTTTTCCCCATTAAATATGTGAAAGGGAGGAAAGGAGACGGTTTTTGGGGTTGTTTTCTCTGTTTTTAAAGTTACAATGGCGGTCCAAGCACGGTTTTATACTGAAAATCTTGGTTTGCCCATGTCTGGTTTTCAGAATACTTGGGTGGTCAATCCTGTTTCTGCTTCTGAACCCGATTTTGGTTTTTGTTTTCAAGATCCTCAACATGCTCTGTTTGCTCAAGATAACGTGGGTATTCATCATGCCAACGGGGGTATCTCTGCTTCATGTTCTAATTCTTCAATATGTGATAGTTTACCATCCATGGCACTTTACCACTCTTCAGATGTCCAACTCCAGATGCAAGAGCGAGAACTCGACTACATTCTCCAATTACAAGTGATTCTTCCTTCTGTTTTTTGGTTTTTCTTAATTTTAATAGTTCGTTTTGTTGGTGTTAAAAGTCATGTTAATGTTATATCCACATTCTGAATCTACACAGAATGAGAGGCTGAGGCATGCTGTACAAGGGCAAGGAAAGCAACAATTGGCGATTCTGCTTAAACACGTTGAATCAAAGGCCTTCTATTTGATGAAACAAAAAGAAGACGATTTGGCTCGAGCAAGTAGGAAAACAATGGAGCTTGAAGCCTGCCTGAGAAACACAGAGACGGAAATAGAGTCATGGAAGAGATTAGCCAGAGCCAATGAGGCAATGGTGGTGGATCTTAGCAAGACACTCGAACAGGTAAAAGAAAGACTGGTCGTGTTCAACAACACAACCGAAGATGCAGAATCATATTTCTCGTGTCACATAGAACAACAAGAACAAGAATCGGAAGAAGAAAGCATGGCGATGGCTTGTAAGAACTGCAATTCTGGGAGGTCGTGCATGCTGTTTCTTCCCTGCAGACACCTATGCTCATGCAAGAACTGTGAATCTTTTCTCGGTTCTTGTCCTGTCTGTAACTCTGTAAAGGAAGCAAGCATGGAGATTTTTTGGTTTTAACAAGTAAAAGCACAAACCAAAGGTCCAAAGGGAAGCAGGAGATCGGAAACCATTGGGAATCAAACTTTTGTACTTTTGTGGATACCTCTGTACTAGTACCATTATACGGTGTCCTGTGATTGTGGGTGGGTGTGTGTTTTTCAATTTTATGTCGCTTGTCTGGGTCCATGTCAACAGATTTTTTGGGTACAGCTATGGTTGTACTACTCAATATTCAGGACCAAATATTTAATGAAGACTAAATATTTCATGAAGTGAAATTATGATAGGATTAGTTTGGTGAGAATCTTTTTTTTTCCCCTTTTTACCTTTTCCGGATTGATTACAATTTACAAATCTTGATTTAGAATTTTATCGATTTTTTATGTTGAGGAGAAATTGGAAATGGAGTTACATGAGTAATATTATGGTAAAAGGAAAAATATATACTAATACAGAAACAGAAGAAAAATGTAGAAATAAAAATCTTAATTTTATACATTTTTAAATAAAGATATTAATTTATATTTTTTATTTAAAAATTTATTCATAATATTATATATTTAAATAATATATATTTTTTATAAAAAAAGGGTGTTAATTCCTCAGCCTTTTCCAATGACTATGCTGACAGTTTCTTCAATTCTGACTGTTTCACGTCCCCTATTGAGTGAGTTTTTCTCTTTCAACTCCAACTTCAAATCTCTGACCCGATGCTTCTGAGACTTGCTGTCACAAAATCTGCATGTGTACGTCGTCGTTTACCGCCACCTTTATTATCTCTCCCTCATAAATGCGTCGTTGGTTTTGCAGAATCTCGGCTCCTCTCCCGCTCCTGGCCCAGGGATTTCACGTACACAAAATGAAAAGCATAAACAAGGAGAGAGAGAGAGAGAGAGAGAACTGATAAAAAAAAATTGATTTTAAGATAATTTTTTATATTATTTTTAATTATTTAATATATTATTTAATATA